CTCTCTCTCTCTCTCTCTCTCTCTCTCTCTCTCTCTCTCTCTCTATCTCTCTCTCTATCTCTATCTATCTATCTATCTATCTATCTCTCTATCTATCTATCTATCTATCTATCTATCTATCTATCTATCTCTATCTCTATCTCTATCTATCTATCTATCTATCTATCTCCCCACACGCCTCCCTGTATGCGTCTGTGTGCGACCGCACGCGCGAGAGCACACGCTCGCCGTTATCGCAAATTGAGAAAGATAAGAAAAACGGAATGCACACTCTATATCGTCCTTAGATAAGGGAGCAAGAGGAGAGGGAGGACGGAGGGCCGAGGAAGGTAATGMCACGGGAGGAAGGAGGGAGAAGGCGATGGAGGGAAGAAGGAAGGAGAAAGGGAGGAAGGAGGGAGGGCCGATGGGGCAGGGGTGAGGGAGGGAGGAGAGAGCGTCGTGGCAGGAATGGAGGACGGGCCGAGGGAGGAGGGATGGTGATGGTGCCTCTGCTGCCCCTCTCTCTCTCTCTCTCTCTCTTCCCCCCCCCAAAAAAAAAAAGCCTGACCCGCTTGCACGCAGCGACCCCCATCCCCCCATTATCTACCTCCTCCCCAAAAAAAGACAAGTGTGGATTCGAGGTGAAGTAGAAACACTCACTCGAGCAGGAATCCACGTCGAAGCTCACGTCGGCGCACTCAGCAGGAACTCACGATCCACGTGCGAACCAGCGATTCACGAAAGCACCACCTCACAAAGCACTAAGCAATTTGCCAAAAAAAAAAAAAAAAAAGCCAAGTAAAAGCACTAAGCAAGTAGCACCAAGTAGCATGGACCACGGATTCACAAACCATGAAGCGCGCAGCACCATGCAGCGAATCCACCGCGAACGCACGATGCACCAAGCACCCAATCCACAATGCTTCGCGGAAGCACCAAGCACTTAGCACACCAAATTCGCGAAGCACCAAGCACCGAATCCACGTAGAAGATCGACTCACGTACCACAAAGCACCGAAGCACGGACCACGTACTACGAAGCACGAAAGCCGAATGCCCCGGGGGGGGGGGAGAGAGAGAGAGAGAGAGAAAGGAAGAGAGAGAGAGACAAAGAGAGAGAG